CAGAAGTGACCATTCATAAGCTGAGTTTGGACCCGAAGTTCCACCCGGTTAAATAGAAGAGGAGACCACAGTCCGAGGTCAAGCATGTATTCATCAAGGACGGGGTATCTAAACTCCTTAAAATAGGGTCCATTCGGGAAGTTAAATACCCAAACTGGTTAGCTAACATAGTGGTAGTGCCTAAAAAGGAAATAAACTAAGAATGTGTGTAGATTACAAAGATCTAAACAAGGCATGCCTTAAGGATTCTTTTCCTTTGCCTAATTTAACATCGATCGAACGATCGACGCGATGACAGGGCATGATATACTCAACTTTCTCGATGCCTATTCCAGGTACAACAAATTCGGATGGACCAGGGCGATCAGGAAAAGACTTCTTTTATCACTAAATTCGGCACTTATTGTTATAACATAATGCCATTCGGATTAAAGAACATCAGTGCCACTTATCAATGCCTAGTAAACTGGATTTTCTAAGAATAGTTAGAAAAATCAATGGAAGTTTATATTGACTGCATGTTAGTCAAGTCCCTGCGAGCAGAGAACCATTTGAAACATTTAAAGGAAAGCTTCGAATATTGAAGAAATACAATATGAAGTTGAACCCGAAGAACTATGCATTCGGGTCAGATCGGGAAAATTCCTCAAGTTCATGGTGTTCAATTGAGGGATCGAGATCAATCCCGACAAAATCAAATCCATAGAAAACATCACAGTGGTAAACAACGTCAAGGCCTTTCAGAGGCTGACTGGGCGTATAGCCACCCTAGGCGAGTTTCTATCGAGGTCCTCGGACAAAAGCCATCGGTTCTTCTCATTGTTGAAGAATAAGAATAACTTTTCCTAGACCCCAGAATACCAACAACTGTACCTGCTCCATACTCCGAAGGCGGACGAACAATTGTACCTTTACTTAGCTGTTTCCGAGGTGGCGGTAAGTGGAGTCTTAGTTCGGGAAGAGGAAGGTACACAATTTCCTATTTACTATGTTAGTAGAACTCTAGGCGAGGCCGAAACAAGGTATCCTTACCTAGAAAAATTGGCGCTCGCTTTGCTAAGCGCCTCCAGAAAGTTAAAATCATACTTTCAATGCACCCCGTATGTGTCGTAACCTCTTACCCACTGAGGAACATCTTGCACAAACTTGAGATCTCAAGCCGGTTGGCCAAATGGGCCATCGAAATCAGCGGGTATAATATTGAGTATCGACCTTGAACCGCCATAAAATCTCAAATTTTGGCAGACTTTGTGATCGACTTTACACCAGCCTTAATACCCAAAGTCAAAAGGGAATTATTGCTAATCTCGGGGACTACCTCGGGAATTTAGACCCTTTTTACGGGAGGTGCCTCGAACGTAAAGGGGTCCAGGCTCGGCATTGTATTGAAACCACCTACGTGGAGTGTAGTTAGGCAGTCTATTAGAACTATGAAATTAACTAAGAATGAGGCCGAGTATGAGGCCCTAATTGCAGGTCTTGAATTGGCTAAAAGCCTTGGGGCCGAGCTGATCAAAGCTAAGTGCAACTCCCTCCTCATAGTAAATCAAGTCAATGGGATGTTCGAAGAGAAAGAGGAACGGATGCAAAGGTACTTAGACAAATTACAAGTAACGCTGCATCAATTTAGGGAATGGACCCTGTAACACTTGCCCCGAGATCAGAACGGTGAGGCCGATGCTCTGGATAACTTGGGGTGGTCCATCGATGTTGATGAAATTAGTTTGGGAACAGTAGTACAACTCATGAAATCGGTGATAGAAGAAGTCCATGCCGAAGTAAACTCAATGAGTTTAACTTGGGATTGGAGGAACAAGTACATAAACTACTTGAAAACCGGAAAATTTCCCTCGGATCCCAAACAATCAAGAGCTCTGTGTACCAAGGCTGCCAGATTTATCTTGGTCGAAGGGGCATTGTTCAGGAGAATGTTCGACAACCGCTAGCTAGATGCTTGGGGAACCATTCGGGGATAGAATCTTTGGTCCATAAATTAATCAGGGCTGGCTACTACTGGACCAAAATGGAGAAAGATGCGAAGGACTTCCTACAAAAATGCGACGACTGCCAAAGACATGCCTCGATGAACCATCAACAGGGAGAACTACTCCATTTGATCTTGTCCTCGTGGCCATTTATAAAGTGGGGAATGGATATCGTCGGTCCTCTACCATGGATTCCCATTAAGGCATAATTCATATTAGTCATGACTATAAATGGGTAGAAGCTCAAGCGTTCGAAAGAGTCCAGGAGAAAAAAGTCACTGACTTCATCTGGGACCATATAATATGTCGATTCGGGATACCGACCCTAGGGCTGCTTATCGGGCAGATTGGGTGGTTATTTACTCTTAACGGTTTGGCTTACCGGTTATCGGCTTTTAAATGTATTAATCCGCTAGCCACCCGATAAGATATCGAGCGGATTGGTATCGGTTTAGCTCTTATCGGGCAGTTTATTGACCTAATTCAATCAAAATAAAATAAAATTTAGTCTCTGTATGTTTAAATAGGTGGTCGATGTACTAAGAGGGACGAAGCATAAGAGAAACTGTGATGGGTAAATCATCTATCCAGAATCTTATTTATGTTTATGCACGTTGGCCTTAGTCCATGTGAAAGATTTCCAATTGTCGTTGTTAAAACAAATGTTTGTCATGCTTAGAATTCTAGGATGCCTTAAAACCCAAGCAAAGTTGATGAAACAGTGGTGTAACTGGTGTTGTTATCTTGTTTCAGACAGTAAATTCTANCCGATACCAATAAGCCATTAAGCTTTGGTTTCGGTTCGGTTTTCGGTTTCAGTTCGGTTTTGAAAACGCCTAACCGACCGAGGTCGTTTGCGATAATGGGAAATAATTCATCGGCACCAAGGTAAATAAATTCTTCGAAGATCACAATATTAAGAAGATACTATCAACACCTTACCACCCTAGTGAGAACGGAGAGGCAGAATCAACAAACAATAACATACTTCAAAACCTGGAAAAGAGGTTGACCAATGCCAAAGGGAAATGGAAGGAAATCCTGCCTGAAGTCCTGTGGGCATACCATACGACCTCGAAGTCTAGTACCGGGACCACCCCATTTTCGTTAGTCTACAGGGTCGAAGCCTTAATATTGGTCGAAGTGGGAGAAGCGAGCCTCAAGTTCCAATATGCAACAGAAAAGTCAAACGGCGAGGCCATGATTAAGAGCTTGGAACTACTGGATGAATGGCGGGAGGCCGCCCTAGTCCGGTTGGCCACCCAGAAATAACGAATAGAAAGATACTACAACCGAAGAGCCAACCTCTAATACTTTAAGATCAGGGACTTGGTGTAGTGGAAAGTAACATTACACACCTAGAACCTGAACAAGGAGAAACTGGGGACAAATCTGAAAGGACCATATTGTGTCGTCGGAATTTCCTACAAAGGATCGTACAAACTCGAAGAAGGAAATAATGTGCAACTACTGAACAAATGGAACATGACACACTTAAAGCGGTACTACTACTATGGTACAAACTCAATTACTCTTTAATCATGTTATGAATCGGACTAACATTTGCAGGCAAATGACCAAGGATGGATGTGGCTATTAGGTCTGAAAGCTTGTGTTGTACTCTTTTTCCCTTGAATCGGTTTGGTCCCAAAATGGGGTTTTCGGCAAGGTTTTTAACGAGGCAACATTAAAATGTGCTAACTTAGATTCGAAGACCGGTCTCAAATCGGAGTCAATGATCATTCACTTCATATCAACAATATCCGAGCCCTCTCAAGCTCGACCGCGAATACTGGGGGCCATCACCCTTGGATTAAGGTTTTTAGCAAGGAAAAAAGAAAAACCTTGAGTACTAGAAGCTAAGGCTTGGATGTTATGATTCATTGTAAGGGCCAAACGGTTGTTTGAACTGTGCTCACATAGTCCACCCTAGCCATGATACAGGTTTTTATGCGCGTTTGATCATGCACTTTACATGCTGAGAATTGAAAGATAGTTCCACCTTGCTATTACACATTTTCTTGCTTCTTCAATTCCGGATCCTAAGAGCCCATGGGCTACCCCTACTTAGGGACTATCAAGCCCATGAGCTACTCCTACTTGGGGACTATCGAGCCTAAGGGCTACAGAATCCCGGAGGCACCAAACCTATTAGGCAGTACCCAAATACAAAAGGCTATAGCCACCCTAAAAATGGCTCAGAGATGTCCGAAGCTCGTAATCAGAAAGTAAGGCCTTTATAAAATCTTGAAACCTTCTAACATGTTACCCTCGACAAAAATCGTCTAAAATCACTTAAACATCTTGAAAACTTCCGGTAACACCGAGGTTTCAAAGCCTCGAGCAAACAAAGGCGTATCAAAGTCGGGCTCCGTTCGGACCTCCGAAAAATGAATGCCCCATAACTTCATTTGATTCTATGCTAAGGCATAAAAATAGTACTTGAATAGAAATTATAAAAAGATGCTAGAAAAGTAAAGACACGATATTGACAAAATGAAAATTTTTCATATATATTCCGATATATATTTACAAAGGCCCAATAAAAACAGCCTCGAAATAAACAAAAAAAGTATATATATATATATATATATATATATATATATATATATATATATATATATATATATATATATATATATATATATATATACATAAGGGAAAACAAAAACTGAAAAGGTACTAAGGCACCTACGCCTGGTCTTCATCGAGACCCGACTCTTCACCAGAACCGTCGGAGCCCTCGGAATCCTCTGAGCCTTCGGCACCCTCAGGCTCGTAGAGCTCCTTTGCCTTGGCCTATAGCTTTTTGGCTTCCTCGATCTCCGCCAACGGATCAAAACCTCAGGCATGGATCTCTCTTTGGGACAACCGCTTCACATATTTAGTCTTTATATTTAGGCGGGTTTCGACTGCCTCCACATCAGCCTTGTACTAGGCTGCCATTTCCTCGACATCAGTGGCGGTTGTGTCCAATTTAGTCTTTAGTGCCTCATATTATCTTCCAAGGACATCTCATTCTGCGACAGCCGAGCTCAGCTGTGCTCGGAGATCATCATTCAGCGAAGACCACTTATCAGCTTTGTCCTTCACCACCCGGAGTTGGTTCTCAACCGATGTCAGCTCCGCCTTAGGAGTTTCTTTCTCCGAAGCTAGCAAGTCCATCCTGCACTTCCACACTTCGGCCATGGCCTTGACCTCGTTTATCTCAGCTTGGAGCTGATCGATTAGGTCGATCTTCTATTGGACCCATGAGGTTGTATTGTTAGTCACCACGACTAGCTCCTCGTTTTTAGTTTCAAAAACCTTTACCTTTTAAACCAAGTCGGCATGTTCCCAATTTAGGATCGAGGCCTCCCTCTATGCTTTGTCCAGCTCGGCTCGAAGGTATTTAAGGGACTCATCCTGTTGCTCACAAAGAAGCATGTACGCGTCCTTTCTTCCAGACCTGTTGTTTGAGCTCGAACTCGAGCTGGCTGATTTCCAAGCGGTACTGGCGGAAGCTTTCATGATGAAGCACTAAAGCCTGTAAAATAATGGAACTAGTAAGAGACATCAAGGGAAAACTTAAGCAGGGTTCATGAAGGGAGTATGAAAGTGTTAGAACCTTACCCGGTTCAGCGCCTGCTGCTCTTCACTAAAGAGACTTGACGTGCCCATCTCGTTTATCTTTGCATGGTCCTCCTCGATCACTAGGCATCGGAGGTAGCTGGAAACACCTATTGGAGTATACAGGATCCGAGCATCCTCTGGGACTATGAGAACAATCATCCTCTTGCGCTCGAGGTCCACACTCGACGCAGGGAATTGCTTCACCAATCTTGGGATCGTACTCGATCCGTCAGCTCCCAAAGGAACGTCCTTCTTCGTATCTCCAGGTGACCTAGCCTGGAGAAATCTTCCAATGTGGACATGTCCATTCTATTGAAGAAGGAGTGGAGAGGATCATCTGCACCCTGAACTCCTTCACTTGATTTTTTCTAGCCCGCTTAGGCCTCTTCAAGCATGGACTCTGTATAGGAGGGCATTTCGATGACGTCTATCACACCAGTCGCCTCCTTTAAAATAGGAACAAATTCTCGGCAGGTCACACCCCTGTCTCCACTTAGGCCTCTCGAATCGGAAAGGGATCGGCCTTGTAGCCCCTTTACTCGATCGTCACTTGCTCCCTGACAGGGGTCGATCCCTGGGAAACAAAGATGTCATTTTCTTTGGGCTTATCCCTAAGCCGGTAAAGCAAGTCAGAGTCCGGTACCCTGGACTTAGTATTCTTCTTGGGCTTACGAGCCCAGTTGGCCGCCCTCTTTTTTATCTTCACCTCGGGATCCGAGGAAACCGAGGACTTTTATTTCCTCTTCTTCTCCTTATTGGCAACCTCGGGCTGTTCCAAAATAGAGGGTTTGATGGGTAAGGACGTATCCTCGTCCCTGCCTAGCAGGCTAAGTTTGTGGTCTTAGGTAAACCTACGTAGGAAAGTAGAAGGTCAACATTGTGTAAGCTTGGGGCATAGTAATAACTATTCAGGGGAGAGCCTTACCATGAGAACGGGCCTCCTATTTTCCTTTTGAAAGTTTGTGACACATGTTCTAATAGTATGACATCTGCTTGCAGGTTCCTTCGATCCACACCTTGAGTCGGGGGACCGCATTAGGAACCTAGGCAACAGCTGCACGACCATAAATACTGGTGATGAGAGAAGAAATGAAGAGAAATTGACACTTAAGGAAAGACTATACTTACGATATGCGTTCCACTTATTAGGGAATTCGGGGACTGTATAGACAGAGTAGGTGGTTGAGGGTGAACCGAGGAGATTCAGTGTTTTTTACAAAATAGTGTAGCAGGATCACGATCCTCTAGAGGGACAGGTGGATTTGCCTGAGGCACACCTCGTACCTCTTTCAAAAGTCCAGGATTACTAGGTCTACCAGGCCCACCGTGATGGGGTAAGTGTAAACACCTAAATATCCCTCCACGTGGGTAGTGATATCATCCTCAGGCCCGAGGACAACCACGTTCTTGCCTTCCCATTTACAGCCTTGTCGGACTCTGGGAAGGGTATCTTAATAACTGAGCATATATATATATATATATATCTCTATACTCTTTCGCCTCGGTCTTGTTTGACAGAGGCCTTCTTGACCTTGAAACATCCCCGATAGACAGCCCACGGGTATGAAGCTTTTCATAGGAGGCTTTGGGAGCACCTCGGGGCATCCACTTCGACATTTGCGGCGAGCTAGGAAGATGAAGGGGTTGTTTGCTGTGGTACAGACTTGGAAGTTTTGGCCATCATGAATCTGGGAAAATATATAAAGATTTGAAGAAAGCATATAAAGGTTATAAATAAAGATATGAAGTACTGGGTTGAAAATCCAAGAAAAAACGTGAAGGTTTGAAGGTTAGAGATGAAGATTTGAAGGTTCAAGAAGCGAGGTATGAAGATTTGAGAAAGTCGAAAACCTTTATAAAGTTTGACGGTAAGATCTAGGATCAGAAAGTGAAAAAAGTGAAGAGGTTCAAAATTATTATAGAGAAAAATGCAATCATAATGCGACGTTTCGCATTCGAAGAAAACCAACCTATGATCGACATGTGTCTGAAGTCAGAACGATGCGACTGACGGGACGTTTCGGCTTGTACATCACCTCGGTTGAAATGTACGAAGGAAGGAACCTGGGTTCATCTGTCGTTTCCCATCATTTCGGCAAACCTGCTCTCTGGGAAATGAGGGAACTCTCTGAATATGGGTGAAACCGGGGTTAACGCACACCGATTTTCTGGTGGATCAAACGAGGTAAGAGTATGAATATATGAGACCGAAATCGAACATGAGAACTCTTTATATCGAGGCCCAAACGATGTGCTCACCATCGGACCTGATGAGACAACACCCCCAAAATCCTAAACGAGCTCCGAGAGCTTAGAAAACATTGCAAACAGCTGCACACGACTAATATAGACCGTGATATCCACACCCAATCGGATATCACGACGCAAATCTCATATGATGTTGGTAACAGATCAGTAATTAACGAGAAAGGAGGATTTTTACCTTTTTTAAAATTGTACTATGGATGAAATCTCCTACTATATAAAGGAGAAACTTTTTATTTAATAGGGGAGATTGTAACATGCATACCAAGGCAATACAAACTTATTTCTCTGCTTTTTAGCTATTGCAAAGTCCTTACTTTACTTTTGTTCTTTGTTCTTGATTGGCTTCGAACCAAGGACCCTGTCACAACCCAAAATCACTAGTCGTGATGGCACCTAACTCGATCCTCTAGGTAAGCCAACTAACAGAAAATACAATCCAAATGAGATTATAGGAAAATAGGGAAGAATTATCTGAATATTTACAAATTAAACCCAAGAACTGGTAGTACGAATCATGAGCTTCTAAGACATGAAATTTACAAAGTCAATACAAATAATTACCCGATATGTTTGAAAGTTACATAAACAAATTAGCAGAATCTAAAACTACAAAGGACAAGTGGCAGCTATATCCAGAATGCACGAACATCTTCAGAGTCAGCCCCCGACATCACCAGCAGCTTCGCTCCAAATATTTGCATACAAGGTGCAGAAGTGTAGTATGAGTACAACCGACCCCATGTACCCAGTAAGTATCTTGTCTCACCTCGTCTAAGTAGTGACGAGGCTTTTTAGTTAAAAGATACTCACCGAAAAAACCTGCACTGAAAACCAGCAATAGAACTAAACTATGATATAACAGAAAGGAATATATGAAACGAATATACAAAAAATAGCTGAGTGCTAACAGAGATCACAATTTAGCTACTTCCAATACCTTGACCATTCTTTCCCTTAGAACAAAAATCAATAAACCACGCCAGTCACTCCATAACTATCATAGCACGAGGAATGTACTTAGATATCAAGTCAATTACAAGGCAACACCCTTCGTGCTTTTATCTCATCCTCACCCAATATACGTATAAAAGTACCAACCAGATGATAGAAATACCGATAACATGAATTACAAAGTAGGAAATACGCAAGTAGCAATAATGAACGAGGATATACATGTGGGCAACCGAAATAGACTAGGCAGAAGGCATATAAGTACTGACAACAATTTGGAGACATGGAATATCAACTTCAACTAACTAGTACGGTGGAGGTCTAGGTATAAGCATAACAAATAAGAAAAAAAACACATGATCTTTACAAGTTAACAAGTAGACGCATGAACGACTAGCATAGTAGAAGGCTTGTACTAAAGTGCAACAGAATAGATATAACATGAGCGTAATTATAACAATAGGAAATAGCCATGGTATGTGCAAGTTAAGCAAGTAGAAGGTATGAGAAACACAACAACAATTGAGATAGAGATCAATGACAGAACAATGGCAACAAGTCACATCAGATCTATAATTATGACAATAACAACTCAAGGTAAAGACATGAACATATACACGTGAAACAGATATCATAACATAATGTATGTTCCACACTCTCGCCTGCACGGAAGCACCTATCGTGCCATGATCTCAAGATAATACAAAAGCATAACAATATAAATGAAATTGCACGACATCACCCTTCGTGCTTTACACTCTTATAACATGGCATGACATCACCCTTCATGCTTTTACTCTCAATGATATGGCACGACATCACCCTTCGTGCTTTACACCCAAATAACATGGCACAACATCACCCTTTGTGCTTTTACTCTCAATAATATGGCATAGAATCATCCTTCGTGCTTTACACTCTCCCTCGCATGATAATGTATATATAATGGCACGACGTCACCCTTCGTGCTTTACACTCTTCCTTACCAAGCATATGTATATCAATGACAAATAAGACATGAAGCATAAATAACGTCAAGGAGAGTGTTTAAACAAATATTCCCAATGAATCCCAATCACAACTTCCAAGCCAACAAGAGTTCAATAAACCCTCAAGAACCTTATTATTCAAGTATTTCAACAAATCTCACGAATGATCTACAACAGGAGTATTTAATCTAGCATCTCAAGAATATCGGCCGTAGCAATGTATGAATGATTAAGCATAGTGATGACTAAATTAGAAATATTAATGTTTCTCAGAATTTTCGTCAAATTTTTCAAGTTATAAACAGGAACATTTTAGATCCCAACATTCAATTCCATATTTTAGTGATTTAGGAGTCAGGTAAGACATGAAGCAAGAAGGTCACGTTGTTCTACAAGACACAATTATAACATAATCACCCCCGAGAATGATTAACCTTGGCACATGCATATATGATCGTCACCTCATATATGTATAACTCCCGCATGTAGCAAACAATGTCAAATAGTAGAAAAATTCACTCAATAAAGTTAGGCAAGACATTTACCTCAATTCGGCTAATTCAATACTCAATTTAGCTTTTTTCTTTACAAATTACCTCTGCTCGGCGCAATCTAGCCAAGGACGACTTAAATACATCACACAATCCAAGAGAAAATAATTTCAATTAATAAATCTGTGATTTTTATACAATTTCTCAAAAGTCAACAAAGTCAACCCTCGGGCCCACCCGGTCAAAACCTGGGTCCAAGGGTAGATCTTGACTACCCATAGCCTCAAGAGTCCAAATACGTGCTTTGTTTCCAAATCCGAGTCCTATTCAATAATCAAATCCCAAATTTTTATTTTTTAAAACTTTGACAAAATCCCCATAATTTTCCCTAAATTTCTCATGAATTTGATGTTAAATCTTATGTATAATCATGAAATATAGTTGAGAATTGATTAGAGGTACTTACCCAATGATTTGGTATGAAAATCCCTTCACAAAATTGCCTCCCATCGAAGCTAGGGTTCAAAATATAACAAAACAAAGCTAAGTCTCGGAATTCTCAGCTATATGCAGGCTGCAAATGTCTCATTTGCCACATGGGGTTCGCAAATGCGAACAATCTGTCGCAAAAGCGAACCAGAGCACTGCCTGTCAAGGTCGCATTTGCGACCCAATAATTTGCAAATGCGAATACCATCTTGGCAGGGTCCTCGCAAAAGCGAACAACCCCACTTCGCAAATACGAAGGGTTTCTTCGCAAATACGAATCTTCCCCAGCAGCCCAAATTTTGCAAATGCGGCCTAGCCGGCCAAAAATTCCAATCATCTGAACATAGCCCACATTCACATCTTACTCATCATTTAGTCATCCAAACACTCGCCGGCCACAAATTCCACTCATAGGGACACTACCGGACGTATAAGTCCAAAAGCATATGCACACACAACCGAAATTCCCATTCTCAAGCTGCAGTTAAAACCCGGTCTCAAGTCCTCCAGACTAACCCATCATCAGTACACAAAAATCACATCTCGCACCTCATCCATGGAATCACAAGTCGTCGATGCACAGCCGATATCGAGTGCTCACATGTCGTGGAAGGAATTCAAAGAGTTACGCTTCAAGCTGAATCAATGTAGCACGATAAGAAAAGAAAGATGAGAAGTTTATCCTAAATGCCCTGTAGCCTCTCAAAGATAGGTATGGACATCATCATACCGATCCGCAAGACTCTACTAGATACTTGCTCACGACTCGTAGAATCTATGAATCTAGAGCTCCGATACCAACTTGTTAAGACCAAAAAACCACTAATTGTGATGGCACCTTACTCGATCCGCTAGGTAAGCCAACTAATAGAAAATACAATTCAAATGAGGTTATAGGAAAATAGGGAAGAATTATCTGAATATTTAAAAATTAACCCAAGAACTGGTAGTACGAATCATGAGCTTCTAAGACTTGAAATTTACAAAGCTGATACAAATAATTACACGATCTGTTTGAAAGTTACATAAACAGATTAGCAAAGTTTAAAACTACCAAGGACAAGTGACAGCTATATCCGAAATGCAAGAACATCTTCAGAGTCAGCTCCCGATATCACCAGCAGCTTCGCTCTAAAAATCTGCACGCAAGGCGCAAAACTGTACTATGAGTACAACCGATCCCATGTACCCAGTAAGTATCTTGTCTAACCTCGTCGAAGTAGTGATAAGGCTTTTTAGTTAAAAGATACTCATTGATAAAACCTGCACTAAAAACCAACAATAGAACTATACTACGATATAACAGAAAGGAATACATGAAACGAATATACAAAACAATAACTGAGTGATAACAGAGATCACAATTTAGCTACTTCCAATACCTCGACCAATCTTTCCCTTAGAACAAAAACCAATAAACCACGACACTCACTTTATAACTTTCATAGCACGAGGAATGTACTTAGATATCAAGTCAATTACGTGGCAACACCCTTCGTGCTTTTATCTCATCCTCACCCAATAGACGTATAAGAGTACCAACCGAATGACAGAAATACCGTTAACAAGAATTACAAAGTAGGAAATATACAAGTAGCAATAATGAACGAGGATATACGTGTGGGCAACAGAAATAGACAAGGCAGAAGGCATACGAGTACTGACAACAATTAGGAGACACGGAATATCAACTTCAACTAACTAGTATGGTGGAGGTCTAGGTACAAGCATAACAAATAAGAAAAAAACACATGATCTTTACAAGTTAACAAGTAGAGGCATGAACGACTAGCATAATAGAAAGCTTGTACTAAAGTGCAACAAAATAGATACAACATGAGTGTAATTATAACTATAGGAAATAGCCATGGTATGTGCAAGTTAAGCAAGTAGAAGGTATGAGCAACACAACAACAATTGAGATAGAGATCAATGACAGAACAATAGCAACAAGTCACATCAGATCTATAATTATGACAATAATAGCTCAAGGTAAAGACATGAACAAAAATACGGCAAACACATATCACAACATAATGTATGTCCCACATCCTCGCCTGCACGGAAACACCCATCGTTCCATAATCTCAAGATAATATAGAAGCATAACAATATAAATAAAGTGGCACGGGATCACCCTCCGTGCTTTACACTCTCATAACTTGGTAAGACATCACCCTTCTTGCTTTTACTCTTAATGATATGGCACGACATCACCCTTTGTGCTTTACACTCATATAACATGGCACCACATCACCCTTCGTGATTTTTCTCTCAGTAATATGGCACAGCATCACCCTTCGTGCTTTACACTCTCCGTCACATGATAATGTATATACAATGGCACGTCATCACCCTTCGTGCTTTACACTCTTTCTTACAAAGCATATATATATCAATGACAAACAAGGCAGGAAGCATAAATAACATCAAGGAGAGTGTTTAAATGAATATTTCAAATGAATCCCAATCACAACTTCCAAGCCAACAATAGTTTAATAAACTCTCAAAAACCTTATTATTCAAGTATTTCAACAAATCTCACGAATGATCTACAAAACAAGTATTTAATGTAGTATCTCAAGAATATCGACCTTAGCAATGTATTAATGATTAAGCACAGTGATGACCGAATTAGAAACATCATTCTCAGAATTTCCGTCCAATTTTAATCAAGTTATAAATAACTACACTTTAGTTCCTAACATTCAATTCCATATTTTAGTGATTTAGGAGTCAGGTAAGACATGTAGCAAGAAAGTCACGTGGTTCTACAAGACACAATTATAACATAATCTACCCCGCATGATTAATCCTGGCACATGCATATATGGTCGTCACCTCATATATGTATCACCCACGCATGTAGCAAACAATATCAAATAGTAAGAAAAATTCCCTCAACAAAGTTAGACAAGATGCTTACCTCAATTCGGTTAACTCAATACTCAATTTAGCTTTTTTCCTTTACAAATTCACCTCCACTCGGCTTAATCTAACCAAAGACGACTTAAATACATCACACATTGCAAGAGAAAATAATCTCAATTAATAAATATGTGATTTTTATACAATTTTTAAAAAGTCAACCCCTGGGCTAGCCCGGTCAAAACCCGTGTCCAAGGGTAGGTCTTGACTACCCATAGCCTTGGGAGTCCTAATACGTGTTTTGTTTCCAAATCCAAGTCCTATTCGACTCTCAAATTTTATTTTTCAAAACTTTGACAAAATCCTCAATATTTTCCCAAAATTTCTCATGAATTTGATGTTAAATCTTATGTATAATCATGAAATATAGTTGAGAATTGATTAGAGGTATTCACTCAATGATTTGGTATGAAAATCCCTTCACAAAATCGCCTCCCATCGAAGCTAGGGTTCAAAATATCACAAAATGAAGCTAAGTCTCAGAATTCCCAGCTATATGCAGGCTGCAAATGTCGCATTTGCGATATGGGGTTCACAAATGTGAACAATCTATCGCAAAAGCGAACCAGAGAATTGCCTGTCAAGGTCGCATTTGCGACCCAATACTTCGCAAATGCGAAGACCATCATCTCGCAAAAGCGGCAGAGTCCCCGCAAAAGCGAACAACCCCACTTCACAAATGCGAATCTTGCCCAGCAGCCCAAATTTAGCAAATGCGATGGCTGCTTCGCAATTGTGACTATCGCATTTGCGACAAAAACATCGCAAGTGCGATGACACCAGTACCAGCACTCAAAAATCATGAAAAATTATTCCGAATCCAATCCAAAACTCACCAGAGCCCCCCAAGATTCCAAACCAACCATGCACCGAGGTCCAGAAACACAATACAAACTTGCTCGCGCGATCAAATCATCAAAATAACCTCTATAAGCATGAATCCGATGTTAAAACGCATTAAGATCAAAGTAAACTTCAAGAACTTCTAGAATAGTAACCGAGCGTCCGAACCATATTAAATCAACTTCAAATGACGCCAAATTTTGCAGAAAAGTTCTATATGACGAAACGAGCCTACTCAAGGCTTCAAATCATGCCTAACAACCTCGAAACAATGAATCGCACCTCAAGTCAAAAGCAATGAACTTTGAAACTTCAACTTCTACAATCGATGCCGAAACCCATCAAATCACATCCAATTGACCTCAAATTTTGCATACAAGTCACGTTTGACGTTACGGACCTACTCCAACTTTCGGAATCGGAATCCGACACTAATATAAAAAAGTCCACTTCCGGTCAAACTTCCCAAAAATCCAACTTTCGCCATTTCAAAAATAATTCGACTACGAACCTCCAAATTACAATTAGAACGCGCTCCTAAGTCCAAAATACCCAAAGGAACTAACGAAACCGACGAAACTCCATTCCGAGATGNCATCTGAATCTGAGAGGACTGATGCTGACCAGGACCGCGACCTGCTGGCCAAAGAGTTCCTTCGTATGCTCCTCTTGTTCGAGGACCTTATCCTATTCATAACGACCCAGTAACACATCGTTCCAATAGTTGTAGCCATTATGCTTGCTCCTATTATGGACACTAATATAGGCATCCATAAATTATCGTCGCCAACAACAACGTACGATAAAGACAAGTAAGCCACTGAAACAAATAAACATGCCACCCACATTAGCTTGTTTATAATTGACATCATCTTCTTCTTCGCTCTGCTTTCTATTACCACGATTGTTGTTTGGACAACCACAACAGCAAGAGCGATGAATAAGGATATGGAGTCAAAGACGAAGAAAACCAGAAATGCTGGATTTGGACCGATATTTGCTTCTCCAAGGGAATGATCAGGTGGGATATCATCCGGATCATCGACCCATTGACCATTGATTTGAAAGATTGCACCAAAGGCTACTGTGGCAATGAGCACCGCGACAACTGTGGTAGAATTGATTGCATTGTTAAGGCCTTCTGCATGCATTTTGTACACACGCTTGGCGATGTCTTGTATACGTCTTCTTGTTAGGCGTGTAGTTTCCAATTGATAGTGCACCCCGTGCTTTATGTCACTTACAGTTTGCTTCAACTCTCTTGCTGGATTTGTTGCCTGTGGCTTGATGGATCTAGCACTTTGAACACCATGTTCCTGCAAGATGGTTCCTAATTCAGCCTGTCCCAGTTTCTCCGCAGTGTCGAGGGCTGTCTCGTTGGTCCTATTGACGACTGTAGTGTCTGTTTCATTCTGCACAAGCAGCAACTTCACAATCTGCATATGTCAAAACAAGTTCGAAATGAGCTCTCAATATATTCCACTCGCGCCTAATCAATCCCTTCAATAATTTTCCAAGAAACCAAGGCTCTTTTGACATCTATCCCAATGCAAATGATATATTACTGACAGAAATAGGGTTGAAAGGACTTTCGATTTATTACATAAGCTAAAATATAACAGCAAATTCTTCGGAATTTTGGTTGTTAAAACCATAAGAGTTTTTAATGACATTTCAGCTAGGAAATCACTTTTTGGCTTCAAAAATATTGCTACACAATTCCATTTTCCGCTTAAGGATAAAGATTGTAATCTAGTGTGCTTTTCTATGCATAGTGATAATTTTACCTTCTGCATAACAGATACTTCAATAAACCTTGCATCCACAATGTCGATCTCGTTTATACTTTTTTTCTAGTTATGTTTCAACATCTGTAATTCCCACTACATAAATTCTGAGGAAGAGTTATTGGGATCTCTTAAGTAACAAGAGAGCAGAAGATGAACAAAAAAGTCGAAGAAACAAAAGTTTCTAGACACTAAATAAAAGAAAATAGATCCATGTCTTAGATTGATAAACAAAGAGTAGTCTACAACTGAAACATCACGAGAGCAGTTAAAGTTTCAAAGCAAAATTCTCGCGTATTAGACAACGGACATGTATTGGACTAAGATGAGCTTAAATGGATGATAAAGATTTATTTAGCCGGCCCAAGCTTTCTTGGCATTGAGGCGTACGTAATAATAGTAGTTGTTGTATAAGAAAAAAAGAAAATACCTGATCCCTGCCTTTCCGAGCAGCAATATGCAAGGCAGTATTGCCCTTGTTGTCAACCATATTTATCAAAGAAGGATCAGCTCTAATCAGCTCCTCCACAACCTCAAGATTTTGTCCTTTGACAGCCATGTGAAGTGCAGTCTGTCCCTTTTTATCCATCCTAGTTGCAATCCCTGGCTCCTTACTCAATAGCGCCTTCAAAACCTGCACATGTCCATTTCTTGCAGCAGAGTGCAATGCCGTTTTCCCATTACTTTTAGCTATGGTGGCTAAACTGCTCTCTTCCTCCAATAGGTAATTCACCACCTCTATATGCCCTTGGTTTGCTGCTGTATGCAAAGCTGTAGTATTTGAAACATCGACGGTCATTGAGAGCTCTGGATGTGCTTCCATTAATACCTTCACCACATCTGCAAAATTACAAATTCAACTTCATAATTGACATGAATAATTATGCTATAATGAACATCAATAGTAATTTAAAAGCATTCGTTTCCTAGGGTGAATAGGCGAACACATTCCGTTCTACTGCTACAACACTTGATTTTTGTCATTAATATTTAACATCATAGTATAATAGAATAGCCTACATACTACCAGGTGCATAAGTGTTTTTTATTATTTTATTTTAATACAGAGACAATTCCTTAAAATCACTTGAACTAGACATCAGAAAATGGAAAAGCAAGCCGGTGTAATTCATACTAACATCAACAACAATGACAACGACAATAACAATAACAACTGTGTCTCAGTCCCAAACTACTTAGGGAACGATAAGAGCTCATACTAACATCAACATACCTAAATCTCCTTGTTTGGCAGCAATGTGCAAAGCATCATAGCCGTTCCTCGCTTTTATTCCGGCAGCAACAAGATCATAGTAATAGATCATCTCCCTAACCAACTGATAATAACCATATTCTGCTGCAACATATAATGCAGTTTCCCCAGCAGAATTTTGCTTTATTATCAACTCTGCCAATTCTTCCTCCTCTGTCTTTTCAAGAATCTCTCTTATTGCAACAATATTTCCAGCTCTAGCTGCTGCATGCATGGAACTGTCATCCCTTTTCCCTGTTAGTTGTTTTGTCATCTTCTTCCGGGGCGCCACCGGCTTAGGTGCCGGTGCTTCCATCGTATACAATTCCCCTTTCACCACCCTTTAGTTTGTACAACAACAACAACGTCTCAATTCCAAATTAGTTGGAATCAGCTATATGAATCCTCAGTATTCGTTTCGCTCCTTTCACCACCCTTAAGCCAATGCAACAACAAGAACTACGTCTCAATTCCAAATTAGTCAGATCGTCTATATGTATCCTCAATAACCGTTCTACTCCATTTGGATCGTTTCTTTCAACTACGAAATAATTTGTTTTTAGGACAAATTAAGGACCCTGGCATATGCTAATCTATATGAAAAATCCCTTATTTTCTTTCCCTCAAACACCCAAATCAACAATCAAATTTTAAGACACCAAGAGAGCTTCAGAAACCAAAAGGGAAACTCTATCAATCTGAAGCCAAATGTGAGAATCATACATCTCTAGATTCATCAATGGCAAAAACTTTAAATTTCATTCCCAACCTTTTTGAGCGAAAATCAAGTCCTGATAACAACAATAACAAAACCATGCATTAGCATTAGCATTCTTTGAGTATGAAGAAAGAAAGACATTTGTTTTCACTGCTTAACTTCTCCCACAATTTTGAAATTTTGCTTTCTTTTTCATTTCTATATTACACGTAAAAAGATTGCCAAATTCATAAAAAGAAAAGGGAAATTATTTACCTGGGCTAAAAAGAGTTTCCCCTTGCTGTTTTTTCTCCTTAAATACCAAACCCCATAAGTGATCTATCTGTAAATTATTTTCCAATAAATAGGAACAAGGAGGAGAAAAAGTGCTAGAAGTTGAGAGAAAGGGACATTTATACAACAAACAAATTTTAAAGAATCACACCCAAAGCTCTTGAATCCTTAAAAAAAGAACCATAAAAATGGCTCTTTGTAAAGTTGGTGATGTTGATAGTTTGGATTTTGAGAATTTAAAAAAATAAATATTTGTGGGTGATATTTCTTTTCCTTTTTTTTTTTGTCTTTTGTATTTAGTTGAGAGACAACAGAAGAAAACGCTAATTCCTGTGGTGCTGGGTAAAATGAACTAACCATATTACCAGAACCACGCGCCAAGTGTTTCTTGGTAAAATTGTTTTTCAATATCTGAATAAAATATTTTTCTTGAAAAATATCTCTACTAAATGAGACACTGCAATTAAAATCTCTTTTTTCGTGTAATTTTTTTTTCCAACTGCTTTATGGTATTGTTTTGAAGTCCGACTAATTTGATCTCGTGTTGTATAAAATTTATTAAAGGATAAGCGCTCTATACTAGTTTTTTTGTTTTCAAAACTTGAGCTGGATGCATCTAGTTAAAGGTGAAGGGATCCTATCATCCTACCACAAACCTCGACAGTAAATTAATAAAAATATTTTATATTTTTTCTTGAGAAAATATCTCCACCAAATGAGAGACTGCAATTAAATTTTATTGTTTTACGTCACTTGTTTTGACTACTAGTAATATGTAAACATTATTGATAATCTTTAATCATAGTTATTATCATCACCCTTTCGCCATTCTCAATTCCTCACATACTAATTCTAGTTAATCATATCTATCTTTATACTGAATGAAATACTGACTATATAATTTCTTAAGGTAAAATAATTTTTACCGATATATTTTTCATGAAAATTCGTCTTATACCAACTACACCTAAAACTATAATTTTTGAAAACTAATAGATTTATGATTGCATAAACAATGAATAAAAATATAAATAAATATGATATGCTTCAGTACAAGGTTTATGTTTTTTTATTTAATATCTTTGATGGTTTTACCTAAGGATATTATATATTGAAGAAAAACAATTGTGAAACTATGACTGGTTCTAGTGTAACGCACTAGTGGGATGCTGCTTACTAATGCGAAAACTTTCACTATCGTCTAGAACCAGTCCATGTGAAATGTGGGTGTCAAAGGATACTCCTATAATAAATAAAATATCTTCTAGTTCAATGACGAAATTCTCAAATTACAATATGATTTCTTTACAACTTGTTTGAATTGTTGTAATTATATGTCAGTTTCATAATATATTGTATCGTATTGTATTGTATTATATTGTTTGATGAATACAATGTTTGGATAGATTGTATCATTTGCCGTCGTTTCGTGATGTCACGCACCCATAATATGAAGAATAAACTTGCAACATTACTAAAAAAAAAGGATAAGGAGTAGAATTATTATATAAAAAAAGTAGGATAAAGGATAAATATGACTATTTAATAATAAGGAATGACAAGATGAGAGAAAAAAGCAAAGAAATGATGTCACCATACCAAGTCCATCGTTCCATAAAGTGGCACTTTTCGTCGTACGTAACGACGGAATACAATAAAATTAATTTAAGTAATAATCAAAACAAATATTGTATTCAAAGTAACAATACGATACAATATGATATGTAACAACCATCCAAACATGCTGGGGAAATTACGGTCAATAGAAAAAGCATAAATGATTTTCAATACTATCAATTATTTATTTATTTTCATTTACATTCGGTCGGATAAAAGATCGCCTGAGTGAAAGGAAAAAAAACCTATATTCTTACGCGAGATGGGAATAAAAGCAACTAAAATCGAAACTTACGATCTAAATACTAATTAGTAACCTTAATTTGAATAAGGATGTCTAGTACAAACTTAAGTAGATATTAATACAATTAGGTTGGCGTATAGAAATATAGGACTATATGTTTTGTAGTATAGTTCAATTCAGAGAATGAATTCTGTGATTTATAAGCTTTTTATTATCTAAAAATAGAGTGGTTAAATTTCATAATAACTAATTAAGAAGACGATCAATTTTTCATTTCGCATTCCTCTTCTCAGCTCTTTGATTAACATCTTACTACGTGTAAGCAATTTCGATTATGTTGCATCTTCTGAACTATTCCCCTTCTCTTTCTTTCTCCTTGAGTTACGACAAAAGCAGCGACCAAAACGGTGGAACCTCTGTCACTGGTAACTCTATCTCGTTGAATGTAACGACTTGGCTGGACGTTTTGAGAATTTGCACTTTGCTCGATAGTTTGGGGACACAAGTAGCTTCGTATGCTGTATTAAGACTTGTGTGCAAAATTTGAGTTCATTCCGGATTGATTTGATATGTTTCGGCGCGAGTTTTTGGAAGTCGAAAGTTCGAAAGTTCATTAAGTTTGATTTGAGGTGCGTTTCGTCGTTTCGATGTTGTTATGCGTGATTTAAGGCCTCGAGTTGGTCCGTGGTTTGTTATGGGACCTGTTGGTATGTTCCTACGGGGTCCCGAGGGGCTCGGGTGAGTTTCGGATAGGTTTGTGCTGTGTTGCGCTCGTTTTTCTTATATTTCGACGTTGTTTCTTCAAGCATAAATGATACCACATTAAACAAATGAGCTCCGATTTCTGTTTTGATTGAAGCATTAGATTCGTATCGTAATTAAGGAGCCATAGCAAAAAGAATCGTCAAATTTGGACATTGTATGAAGATTTATGGTCATTTAACTAAGAATTGGGCCGCCAGGTATTTTTAGATTAATTACGAAATTGCTACTGACCTCGTATTTCAAAATCTGCACTATTTTCAAATATTGAAACCAATATATCTCCTTCATTATAAGGTCAAATGGAGTGATTCAAAAGCCTAACTTGACTGAAATTTCACAAGAAATCCATTGGAGGCATCACAAGTGAGTTTGAGAATCGTTTGGCATGCAAAACGAGATAGAATAGCTGGGCAAAAATACTTAATATCGAAAGTTTGTTCATTTTGTCATATTTTGAGTCGAGGAGCTCGGATATGGATAATTTTTGGATGTGATCTTCACTATATGGATTGGAGTATGTGTTCTATACTCTATTTTGGTTATATTTCATAAATCCATCTTCGTTTTAGGTATTTGATTGATGATTTCAAAGTAAAATTTTGAGGGTTTTGTCTAAAATTTCATAAAGTGAATTTTTGAATTTTGAATATCGATTTGGAGTCGGATTTGAGTGAAACTAGAATGGTTGAACTCGTAATTGAATGGGTATTCGGGTTTTATAAATTTTGTCGGGTTCCAAGGTGCAGACTTGGGGAGTTGACTTTTGTTGACTTTTTGCAAATTATATAAGGATCATAGCTTTGTTAATTGAAATTGTTTTCTCTTGCATTTTTTGATGTATTCAAGTCTTTTTTTGCTAGATTGGGTCGAGCGATGGTGATTTGGTAAAGGAAAAGCTAAANCCATCCTTTAGGAATTGAGTTAATTGTGTTATCTTGTTATGTGAAAGTCGGGTACGCAAGGTGATGAGTGGGTACACAGTCTATATGTAGTATTGACCGGTTTAGATTGTCTAATCTCTTTCCATGCTTTTGATTAAATTGTCAAAACATGTGGTATCTCGTTGTTAGACTACTCTTACATGCTTTATATGATTTTGTTAGCACTTATCTACCTCTTACTCGTTATTAGGCCCATATATGCTTGGTTGAAGTCATTACCTTCCTTATTGTGTTGTTACCACTTAATTGTTGAGTTCTTCTATGACTATGTGCATATCTGCTACATGTCCAAATTGTAGTATTGCCTGCTTAGTTATCACGTGCCTTACATGTCTTATCATTTCGTAAATGTTGTTGTATTCCTTTGTTTTCACGTGGTTCCCTTGTTGTCGTGTACTCATAGCCTTGATTGTAGAAATTCTGGTAAATTTAGTTATTGAATTGTTGTTGTTGATTTAAGTTATTGTACGGGGGATCGGGTTGCACGCCGCAACAGGTGAAATAAGGGAGGTGGTGGAATAAGGAGGATATTTATATTGTGATATTGTTATTGTACGGTGGGATCGGGTTTCATACCGCAACAGGTGAAATAAGGGTGGATTATTATGGTGAAACAAGGGTGAATTATGATATTGATATTATATGATGGGATCGGGTTGCGCGCCGCAACATATTATATTTATTGTTATGATATTGATATTGTACGGTGGGATCGGGTTACACACCGCAACAAGTGAAATAAAGGTGAATTGATATGGTGGGATAAGGGTGACTTATGATATTGATATTATATGGTGGGGATCGGGTTGCGCACCGCAACATATCTTGTATTTTGGTATCCCCTATTTTAATGTATTGGCTTCAGTTTCTTCGTATGGGACTATGATAATCTGTGTTTTTGGTTTTCACTGTGTTCTGAGGATCACGTTATTGTCATTGACTTATTGCCTTGCCATCATTTCCTGAGCTCTTTTCCTAATACTATTATTCTGATGAATGGATTTTCAAACTGAATTTACTACGTTGAGTCATTACCTCCTACCCTGCTTAGCTATTAGTAATATAGTGATTTAAAATAAAAGAATTAATATCATGCTACCTTGTGTGACCTCTAGGTTAAGACTCGCCGTATATTTTGGTATTTACTATTTCTAATAGTTGTTACATTTTACTTCAATTAATTTCTCAACTTAATATCCTTAACCTGTTTGAGGTTTTTATTTCACTTAAAAAGGAATCTTTATTATGTCTTAATTTAATAAACCCTATGTTAAATTCAATAGCTTATTCGATGTTGTATTTTATTTGGAAATGTTATTCTTCTTCACTCAAATGATTTCTAAAATAAATCCATCTTTCTCACTGATTTCCTACTTGGTCTAGAAACGACACTATTACTTTATGATATATAAGTAAAAGTCTCCTGGACACCTTAATTAGTATGTGATACAGATATTATGTACTGAGTAGCGCATGGATTTTGCCATACAAAGTGAGATGGAAATATGTGGGCACAAGGTGCCATGTGTGTTAAAGGTTTGGAAGTTGTAATTATGATATGAGATTACGAGGATTGGAATTGTTGGAATTGTGTATTAGAAATGATTCAATTTGTTGAGTTAACATCATTTTCC